CTGCAATTTGCAAAGGCTTAGTGCTGAATTTTTTGAAAGCGAGAGAAACAGGGAGAAAAACAAAAGATTAATTAAAGATTAAAACCCCATTTTGGTCCCTAAACTATTGTATGGACCTCTGATTTGGTCCTTAAACTTAAAAAATCCCTGATTTGATCTTTACTGTTTACCATTTTTACCCAATTTAGTCATTCCGTTAATTTTTTCACGTTAATCGACGAAAAAAGCACTACGTGGCAAAATTAAATGACATGGCAATTTCCAACTCAGCTCACCCAGATGGAGGATGCTGAGGATGAAGATGAGGGCCCTCTGATGGGTTGTTTGAACCCAGCAGATCTGCTGGGTTGTTTTGAACCCAGCAACTCCACTGGGTTCGAAAGAACCCAACAAGCCTCGTATGAGGCAATTCGGTTTGATGATGACGATGAATTTTGTTTGATTTAGAATGAATGAAGAAGATTCAAAAGGGAGGATGCTAAGAAAGAAGATGAGGGCCATCTACTGGGTTCAAGAACCCAACAGATCTTCTGGGTTTCAAAACCCAGCAGCTGCACTGGGTTCTTTCGAACCCAACAAGCCTCAGATGAGGCAATTTGGTTTGATGATGACAATGAATTTTGTTTGATGATGATTGTTTGATTTAGAATGAATGAAGAAGATTCGAGAGGGAGGATGTAGAGGAAAAAGATGAGGCAAAATTGTAAATTTGATGGATTGAATAATTATATTCGTTTGATTAGGTGGCAAAGGTTTTTAGCCATGTCATTTAATGTGTTAAATATTTGGACATGTCATTTTTATTCCGTCAATTAATAGGCCACCTCAGCAAAAATTGAATGGAATGACCAAATCGAAGCAAAATGGTAAACAATAGGGACCAAATCAAGGATTTTTTAAGTTTAAGGACCAAATCAAAAGTCTATACAATAGTTCAAAAACCAAAATGAAGTTTTAACCTTAATTAAAAGGTGATTGCTTTTCCATTTTTCCACGCAAAATAACAGACAGATATGGTCCCTTGCAACCAA